TATTGCTGCTGCTCAGTGATTCTAAGAATGCAGTACCAATGGACACATTCACACCTGCTAGAGTGTGGACTGAGTTTTAGCTGGATACTCTTTGGCTGATTAATAGTTAAGGATTTCTATTCTCTTACTTCCCAACAGTCTCTGAGCATTTCAAACTTCCCTGACATAAAGTTTCAATGTACTGCTGTGCAAAAGCTCCCTGGGTTATCTCATGCTTCTGTTAATTAAGGAGGCCCACAGATGGGTTTTAATGATCATCCTTTTGTTCTGTATATGAAACCAATGTTCTTTTCTAAAGAAAATACACTGTGGAGATGAGGTATGTTCCAGTTAGCGCTAAATTAGAACCAAAGTATTCAAAAATGTCTGAGTGTTCCTGCCCTCAAGTGTTGGCAAACTGTAGAATACTTTTATAACTTGCTCATGTTGAGTGTTTCTTTAGGAGGAGATGTATAAACCAGCATTACATCAGGTTTAAAGGACAGTAGGAAGAAGACATGGTTAGTGACAAAAAATGGCACACAAAACAAGTCTTTGAAATCCCATCAGCAAATTTTTCCTTTGTGGAACAAAATATTCTGACATCCAATCATCAGAAAGTTATCAGTTCTGAAAGACAATAAGCAGTGAAACACACTGGAGAAAATACAAGAATCACTGTGAAAATCATTTCCTCAGTGACATACCACCCTAACACAACCTGTCTTTTATCTGCTGCCTCCTTGATATTTCCTTCATTTTTCCTTTCATGCTAGTTAGTTCCACAGTAATGGAATTATATTCAACTTTCTCATTTCACTCTCTTCATTCCCATATACAATTTCTACAGAAGTATTATTTTCATGTCATAAATTCCACTTCTACCTCTCAATCCACCTCATTAGCCCCTCTTCATCACTTTGCATTTTTCCACTAATTTCTGTTCTTTTACTTTGTATCTTCCTTTGCTTTCTATTTAAGCTCTTTTAACAATACCATAGAAAGGATGTGGGACCATTTTTAAACAAAGAACAGATCTTTCATTCTGCATCTGTGATTACATCCAAGCACTCACACCCCTGATGTGCATTTGGGTGGTTTGGAACCTGTCCTTCTTGGCATGTCTTCATCTCCTTCTCACACTCATTTTCCAGATAACTCTGTGCTCACATTTCCACCCAAAGCACAGTCTTTGCCAGGAATTGCATCACAATCAACCTGCCTCTTTAGCTAGTCACAGGTTTCCTGCACAGGCTTCTTTCCTTCAAGTGATTGTATTAGTACTGTGCTCTTCCTCCATGTTACAAGACATGGCTTCATACTTTGCATTTAAGCTAGCGAGCTAGCACCCCATCAAAAAGTTCATGAGCAGTCTGACAAACTATTACAGATATTTTTCCATGTACCACCATGTGTATGGAAAGCCAGTCTTCTCCTGCAGGTGCTTCTTTTTCCCATCACAAGTGACTTTTCATGACATTATATTGGTTGCCTATCCCCAATAGAAGCTTTTAGTTGTTAATATACATATTTTTTAAAAAATCAGTATCTACAGTATCATAATATTCATAATTTTTTTTTGCTGTAAAATAAGCATTCATTTGCTTCACCAAGGAATATGGACATGGAGTACTTTAAAGGAACATATTATCTGCAAAGCCAGACCTAGAGGGTGACCTCAGCCTGAATACCTAAATATTTCCTGGGTTTTCTATATTAAGAGGTACATGTGTACCCACACTGACTCTGCAGGTTCTGCTCCTAATTATTAAAAAAATTAATGTTTAGAGAAAAGAGAAAAGAAATTATGAAAAAAACTACTTTTATAGTTACTTTCACAAGTGGTTGCTAATTGGGAGTGATTTTGATGGAAAAAATAATCAGTTAATATGTGTCATATATTAAATTCTAGGTCCTCATTGAAGGCAAGCCTTTCAAAGAGCCACCTGAAGTTTTATTCAGATTTTTAAAAAATGAAGCTGCCAAAGACCAATCAGTTTGGAACTGAATGACAACCCATGCCAACTAATGCAATGTAGATATGTTTGTGGAAAAAAACAAACCTGTGTGTATGTAGGTATGCCCAATATTATAACACATAAAAAAAATACATGATGTATTATATGAATTATAATATGAATTATATGTTAGTAAATACATGAATTTACTAACTTCAGGCCAAGAGGATCTTATGTTGCTATATTTAAAGGTGATAATAGGATTGCACCAGCAAAGAAACAGTTGTTAAACCGTTGGTGGAAGAAATGTTGGGAAACCCCTAGTTTCCATTCAGAATATTTGCTTAGTATCCAGTATTTCAGACTCAAATTTCTAATTAGAGAAAAGTAGGTTTTAATCATATCTAGCTCAGAACTATGTCTCTGTTCAATATAGATATGTAAATATGTGTGTATCTATATAGATATGTATACCTACATAAATGCCACAGCAGTAGAGAAAGCAAAAGCATTGGCGATAATAATTTTTGCTCCTCTCTGCCACTTAAGTGCCAATTTCAAAGGCATTTCATTTGCCTTATCCTTTAGTTCTCCTTCTTTAAAATAAAAACTTGTTCCTATATCAAATGGAAGAACTTGGTGAGAATTACACTAATAGGAGTGTTTGCTAAAGCTGACCTCCACTAGCAAATTGCCTCCTACTTCCAGTGGAAAAGAAAACTTCTAGCGATTCTATTAATTTACATAAAAATACGCTAAGTGAAGCAGCTTCCTGAATGTTTATAGGATCTGGAGTGAGGGAGATCCAGGGACATTTTACAGGTAATTTATCTTAAGTCACGTTAAAACTTTTTCTATTCAAATATTAATTACAGTGAATGTAATACACTGTACAAAGAATTCAATATAGACTTGTAGTACTGCTAGGTTTGACCTGACTATAATGTAAACACATTACTGCTCCAAAAGCAGAAGACAAAATAAGACCACTTCAGATTGTATCTGCCTTCCTCAAGTAACTCACTGGAGAAAGACTTTCTTTGAGCATTTTTTAAAGACTTTCTTTTTAACGTGTAACAAGTTGTACACACATACATCTCCTTTCAGTTGATATAATCTACCATCTATGATGTCACAACAGTGATCTTACACTATTTAGATTTTAAAGTACTATTAATGGGAGAAAAAGACTGTGTCTCACCTTACAAAAGTATAAAGAGGGTATAGTTCCCAATGTGTGATGCTCCATGTTTTTGAAATTACAGCCCTTAGAGATTTTTTTGGCATTAAATTAAAACCACTAACAAATTGCTAGTGGTAAAACATTGCATGAACATTGTTTCTTGCAAAATATTGGAAATAACTATTGTAGCATTACTCAACAGTTAAGCAACCTCTGTTTACTGTAAGTATTAGCTCCTTGAACAACGTGTCCTGCATACGTAAATTCACTCCCTTTGGAACCAAACTCCCAACTCCTAAGACTTGGATCAAAACAGTAAAACAAAAATATATGAACAAGTCCTCTTGCTAACTGGTCTAATATCCATAGGTGGAAGAAACTGCTTATATCAAATAAATAACTAAATAGAGCATGGCTAAAGAGAACCATGATTATTTTTCAAATATTTCCCCACAAACAGTTCTAAATTATACCTTTCATTTATAAAAAGCATTATTTTGTTTTGCTTCTTGTACGTACACCTGAGAATCAAACTGTGTTGCCAGTTCTCTTTGGAGAAGTAACTAGAGCTCTGTCCATTCTATGACCCAGAATTGACTTTATTGGTCAATGAAGCTCCTTTTTCAGCAAAAGCAGATTAACACGTTCCCTTATCTGTCTCTATCCGTGAAGAAAATAGGAAAAGAACTGAAAAATTTGACGAGTTTCCTCAATCTTGAATAAATTCAGCAATATGATGGGAAAGTATAAACTCATTAAATTTCTGTCCTTTTCCTCCATATAGACCAAGGCCCATAAAACTAAACACTAGCTCTTCCTGGCGGGCAGGGTCAGAAGTGATTGGTTGCATACTCTCTCTAGCATATTTCTGTAGTATTGGAGTAAATGGAGACAGCCTTGATGTGTAATCTTAAATCCAATTTCCTAGTTTTCCTCGCACAAATTCTTTACACTGTTCTTCTTGAATTTTGTAAACATGGAGTGGAAGAAGCCTTCTGGACTGAAATATTTCCAGTTTCAAATCCATCCTTACAATGGAGCTAATACTGAGTCTCCTCTGAGTTGCAAGAACATTTCTAATTATTCTTTCACATTTTATTCCAAATACATATTGTGACAAATAAAGAATTGGTGCCTTTTTATCCATGACTTTGAGCTTTATCTTTTTTTTTTTCCTCTTTTAAATCATCATTACATACAACTTACTGATTCCAAACACACAAATCTTAGAGGAAAGCTTGTTATTTAATTACTTCTACTGTGGTTGACAACTAACATACAGAAAATTAATTTAGATCCTGCATTAATCCCAGAAGCTTAACAAAACTGGAATTTGGGAAGGAGCACAACCATCTCCACTGTACACTGAGAGGAAAAAATGTCACAACACATTTAGCACATACTATGCCAGCAGTAGTAAAGCAGAGATGGGAGTTAGCACCTGCTTAAGAGGAGAACAAGCATGCTAACACTGGGAGTCAGGGGAATTTCCCACTAAACTACAACATATAGAAAGTAGGTCACTTTTACTCTTTTGAGAATGATAAAAAGCAACAAAATTCTGAATTATATATGAACCATTACATTTAATTTTCTTCTTCTCCAGCAGCTCCCAGGAGCCTTGAAGACAGAAAAATCTGGATTTTACGACTCTGGCAATTTCTAAGTTAATGCCATAGAATTCTCCACAACCATTTTTATTATAGTTACAGATCTGTCAGCCTTTCTATTTTACTCCCCTTTACAATTCTTTCTGTACTGCTTGCCTCTGATTTAGTGTTTGCTATAAAAGTTTACTCCAGACATAACTTGGCACACAAACGTCTTACACACAGGCTTTACCTAAAATAAATCTTTAATATATCTGCAATTTAGCTTACCTAGCTCTCTTGCCAGGTGTTGTTGGCAGGAAATAGGGTCAAGTTCAAATGTCTGAGACAGATCTTCTTAAATAAATGTGATTGGCTGAAGTATCCCACCCAGAAACCTGGGAAAACAAAATATCTTCCCTAAGTGACCCTAAAAGTCAATTATTTTCTATTCTGAAATATGGATTCTATGCAAAGCAAGAAAAACATGATGTGGGGGAAAGGAGAACTGCAGTTTGATGGCATACAAAAGAAAAACAGTGACATTTATAAACATGAATAACTAATCTGTCTGATAGTAGAGTTGAATTTAGGGGTCACATTTTATTGAGTATAACGTAGTAGGCTAAATGTAAAAATCTGGCTATGACACTTCCATGGAAGAGAAGAAACACTGGAGGTCAGCACCCAAAACAGAGGCCTAGGAAAAGAACCAACCACTGCAATTTTCTTTAGGGACTAAGTTCAAATTCAGGGCAATGAATGTTGCTCAGTTGAGTTCACCAAGGATGAGAAAGGGCAAAAATACAGACACAGATAGAGCAGGCAGCGGGAAGGCCCCAGAGACAGCCAGAGAGTGTGCAGGATGATTTTGATAAAGAAGTGAAGCAAGAAAGAGGGGCTTAGGGTAGACAAATATCTGAGGAGACTGTTAAAGCAATGAGCCTCTCACGTTTACTTCTGGCACTCAGGGAACTGGAAGTTTGTAAATATAGACAGAATTGCAACAAAGAATGATTACATTTCATCATAAATTTGTAAAAATATTGCCCTCAGATATCAGCTAATCAGAATGGGCTAAAAAGAGTGGAAAACCCTCAAAATAGCTCAGCAGCCTTGCACCTGAATCCTGCTTCTCCCAGTGCAAACATCTTTGTAACAGCCCCTCCCCTTCACCTGCTGAGCTCCACATTACTGCCAGCACAGCACCAGAGTATAAAGGCATATTTTGGCAAGTCTATTCCCACTGGGAATGCCTCCCTGACCTCATGTCAAGACTGCTCCAAGATGAAGCCAGGGAGAAGTCAGAGGCACTGGTGTAGCACGGTTAGCTCAGGCCCCTCCATCCCTGTCAGCCATCAGGCCTCACTCACACTTTATTCATTCTTTTCAGCCTTTAAAAATTAATAGCACCAAAGGCCTTAAATGTAGTCTTTCCCATCTGGGAACACTGGCTTGCCACAAGGCTTCAGTTCTGTTACAGCTCTCTCAATTTAAAGCCTTAAGAAATGTGTTGTTTTCTTATGTTACTACTCAGCATGTGGCATATGGAAGATGACAGCAGAGGTCGATGCTGTGAGTTCCACAATAATATAGAAAACACTATTTATGAAGAGACAAAATAAGGGTGAGAAACAAAGGAAATCATCAACATGGAGTGATGCCAGGCATGGTAGATTTCCAGACAAATTCTCTGTACAGGCAGTACAACTGAACACCATAACTAAGTCTCGCTGCAGAATTTATAATAGAGGGAGAAAAGATTCATTGGTATAAACCTGAGGGGCTATTGTGGGAGAAAGATGATCAGGACAATCCTGCTGGAATAATGCCCCCAAATGCTGGAACAGGTCATCAAATTATTCAAAGGAGCCCAGTAGAAAGAATTTTGTATCAGTTGACACAAAAGTGTTTTGCCTTTACCTGAATAAGTAGTTGCATTGAATACTGAGGAAATAAATGTTTATACTGCAGAGTTCTCATTCTTAGGATCCAGAATTAATCTCAGAAAGAATGAAAGTAAGTAAGTCCTACATTTCTAAACCAATAGACCTGGTCTTTGAAGAGTGCCATTTAAAGAGCAACTGAAGTGATCAGTGAAAGGAAGATAATGATAATGTATTGATACCGAACTGAGCAAACAGTATGGGGCATGCAGGTGCCATGTATTGTGGATGCCATCTAACACATATGCTGCAGACTGCAATTTGACAGAAAAATTAATGGCCAACCTATAAACTGCAGTGACAGAAACAGAGGAAGCAGAAACGATGCATCTCCATACACCACTGCTACGCCAGGAAAAACAACCACAAGCATCTATTCTTGCTGCTTCTGAGACCATTTGGAAAGACTTCCACTGAAGGGAAAGCAATCTGCAGCATCAGTTAGCAGATGCAGAGATTCTTTATGTACATTTATTACAGAAAAAGGCAGACAGACGCTCAGCTGCCATTTTTGCTCATATTATTAAGTCAGCAATAGATCTAAATCAAACTAGATGGCACAGCCACCTTCACTTCAACTTCAGCCACATCATGAATTAGTAAAACCAGGTGCTGATGAGGTGTAATGAAAATGTTTCAAGACCAATAGGCCAAAATAAGCTGTTGATAGGCCCATGAAACAAGTGATAATAATTCTTGAATTCAGTAGCAGATGACAAGATTGGATTTTGTTTAAAAGGGACCATAATCCCATTGGATTCAGTAGCTGACACCAGGAAATGGATAAATACTTCACAACTGAGAACAGGCATGCCAAACATAATTCAGGAAGCACAGCTCTTGCCAGAGATAAATTCTGGTTCTGAGTGTATACGATGCAGCATGAGGTGTGCAGAAGTTACTGTGATTTTTGTAACAGAAGGAGACTGCAGATTTTGAAAATCCCAGCTTCAGCTGGGAACAGATGAGGACAGACCTATCCAGTTTCACTGATGAAACTCCATGGTCCAACTACACCACTCCAATTTCTGGAAGAAAGACCATCAGAAGGACACAGAGAAACATTTTATTTGGAAACTGAAAGCTTAGCACAACTAGCAGACTGTGCTCAAACTGCTAGTAAATCAAATCTCTTCCTACTGTAGTCCTTAAACACTGCATTTTAAGATTTTATTATGCAGATTAAGATTTTATTGTTGTCAGAAAGATAACATTAAAAGAAAGGCCTTTATGTTAAGCATGTCCCCAAAAGAATGGACTTTCAAACTTCAACATGTACCACACAACTCACAATGAAGATACCTCTGAAATCTTAAACTTGTTCTGCCTTGATTAATTTGCTAATCTTTTACCACCTACTCTCTGTTAGTATAGAGTTTATGTTAAACAAAAATCCTCTTTCTTATACAATCACTTTATTCTTGTTTTCAATCAGTACCTGTATAAGGAAGCAGGAGCAACATAACTTTACTAAAGGTAGAATATAGGAAAGGCTCAGGATATGAAGCTCTGGTCTATTTTCCTCACATAACTATCTGTGGCTGATGACCACCCTATGAAAACATCCCACAATTCACTTACAGCTTCACTCCTGCTCAAATATTACTTAAGTAGCACCCAATTGATTTATGATACCAGCCAAGCTCCACAGGTGATAAATATTGTATATTACAAACAGACCAGATCAGCCAGATCACAAGCTGTGAAAGAAACCCCAGTTTTACCCCAATAGCCTCAGAGGTTTGGCAGATTAGTAATACATGCATATTATACAGAATATTTTCTTCTGAAGAATTTCAGCAGATCTTGACATAAACTGTAACTTTGAATGCCAAAAGTGATGTTTGCACCCAAAGTGATCCTTTTTTTTTGCTTCTCAGTGCAACTCTAGCTAGTATGTCAAAAATAAGATAGGAGTTGTTCTTCCCTCAAGGCAGCAAATACATCACCCATGACAGGACAGTGCAAAATGAGGTGCAACACTTCTCTCCAAGCACATTCTACTGCCATTTTGCTTGTAACTTCTTGGGTTTAAATGAGACTTCCTTTAAAGTAATATGGTGTATACTTCTGGTGATAGACTTCCATTAGCCTCATGGATTGAAAAAGTCCAATATATATTAGTGGTTTAAAATTAATAATAGTTCTGCCTTCTTTAAATCTGTTGAAAAGTGTATAAAGGTCACAGCACTGCTGATGCCCACATTTTTTCTGTTTTACACAACTGAGTAGATGAAGTAACTCATGACAGCCAAATTCTGAGATCAGGCCCTAAGCAATGATGACATCAGATGCTGCCAAAAGACATTTGATTCCTCTATTGTGAAATGCCAGGTTGGTTCTGGGACATGGTGAGAAAGCCAACTGTAGTTTAGAAAATTCTATAGTGAGCTATTGTTTGATACTAAATACAAGATCATCACTCTTGCTGCTGCTGCAAGTCACAGGGCATCCAAGGACACATCTAACAATATTGCCACTTTCTACTGCATTTGCAAAACACAGCAACAAAGCACCCAGACTATAGAGAGTGTCTGTGAGAGAATGGAGACACAGGACTTGATGGCAGGAGTACAAATTAAGAAGCTGAAGCTAATAAAGCTAATGAAAGCCAATCACCACCAGCATACAGCATATATGTCAAAGGGAATCTTAGCTCTACAAGTTTCTCTGCACCTGACATTTTGCAAAATCATTTGTTTTATTTTTGAGCAATAAATTTTTAGGTTTTTCATGCAACTAAAAGGACAAAATATTCCTTCATGATTATCTGATACTGTTTTAAATGCCTAAACAGAACTATTGCTGATTTCAGCCAGTGAAGGTCCCATTCTAAAGCATGAGGGATGGCACTGTAGTAAATTTACTATATTCACAGCAAAAGCAGAAAAAGATAACTGAAAGAGCAGCTCCTTAAACCTGAGTAGTCTGTGTTTAGTAGATGTGGGCAACTTTACAATTTATGTTGCAAGACAACTCATGATGTGTAACATATATTGTGCTTTTAATTAACTTATTTTCTATTTTCAATTATGACTTTGGAAAAGAAGACAGTTACACAAAAGGAAAAAAAATACACAATTTATTTGATTCCAAATAAACTGATATGAAAAGGTTCTCAGAGTGCAGAGTACCAAATTAATCTTACTAAAGCAAATGTATTGTCTTTTTAAACATATAGAAATATGACAAGAATAGCAAGTGCTTTGTACTGATAATGGCAGTATTTGGAAAATTCAGATTTCCAAATATTATGCAAATAACACGTGCATAATCAGATACATTGAATATTTGGTTTATTTTTTACAAGATTAATTTATAAAGACTCTCCCTTATTATATTTTATCAGATCAAGCTTCCAATTTATCCAGCAGCCATCCCTGGCGGTGTCCAAGATGGATCCCAGGGAAGAGTGTGAGAACAGTGTAACATACAGCACTAATTCCCCAGAATATTTTTCAGCCTCCTGGGATTTGTGGTTGATGAAGCAACTAACCAGATGCAGCAACTCTATCTTTAATAGTCCTCAATGGTTTCTTCTTGGACTTTTCACATCCGAGTTTTTTACCATCCACAGCATCTTGTTGCAAGAATCTTGACAGCTTAAAAATGCAATTTGAGGCAAAAGTACCTCCTTTTTCCTATTGTGAAATTGACACTTCCTGGTTTTACTTTACATATTCTACTCCTTTCTATAATTCTTCACAGTAAAATGATGTTATCTATTCACTTCTGTGCCTACAAAGCTCATGGAACAAATCCTCCTAAGAGCTGTGCTAAGGCACTTGGAGAGCAAGTGACTGTGGCCTTCTACAATGGCATGACCACATCAGTGGACAAGGGAAAAGCTACAGATGCCATCTGTTTCTGTAAGGCCTTTGACATGGTCCCCCAAAAACACCTTACCTCAGAATTGGAGAGGAATGGATTTGATGGATGAACTGTTTGGCAGATGAGGAATTGGTTGGGTAGTCACATCTGGAGGGTGGTGGTTGACAGCTCAATGATATCATAGATGTTCCATGTCCAAACGGAGATCAGCGACAAGCGATGTCCCTCAGAGGCCTGTACTGGGAAAAGTAATGTTTAATATCTTCAGCAAAGACAGAAACAGTGGGACAGAGTTCACCCTAAAAATATCTGCAGACACCACCTAGCTCTATGGTGCACTTGACATGCCTGAGGGATGGAATGCCATCCAGAGGGATCTGGACAAGCGCACAAACCTCAAAAAGGCCACGTGCTGGTGCTGCACCAGGCTCAGGACAATCCCAGTATCAATCCAGGCTGAGGATGAACAGATGGAGAGCAGCCCTGCTGAGAAGGCTTTGGGGGTTCTGCTGGGTGAGAGGCTGGACATGACCCAGCAATGTGCACTGGCTGCCCAGAAACCACCCGTGTGCGGGGCTGCATCCAAAGCACCGTGGGCAGCAAGGGAGGGAAGGGATTCTGCCCCTCTGCTCTGCTCAGGTGAGACCCCACCTGGAACACTGCATCCAGCTGTGTGGTCCTCAGCACAGGAAGCACATCGAGCTGTTGTTGGAGCAAGTCCAGAGGAGGGTCACAAAGATGATTAGAGGGAAGGAGCACCTCTGCTATGAAAAAAGGCTGAAAGATGGAGTTTTTCAGTCTGTAGAAGAGAAGTCTCTGGGGAAACTTAATGCAGTCTTTCAGTTCTTAAAGACAATTTATAAGAAAGATGGAGACAAACATTTTAGTTGGACTTGTTGAATAAGGACAAAGGGTATTGGTTTTAATCTTAAAGAGGGTAGATTTACAGTAGCTACAAGGAAGAAATATTTTACAATAAGGATGGTGAAACTCTGGAACAACTTTCACATTCAAAGTCAGGTTGGATGTGTTTCTGAGCAACCTGATCTAGTTGAAGATGCCTCTGGCCATTGCAGGGGCTTTGGACAGGATGATCTTTAATGGTCACTTTCAATCAAAACTCTTCTATGATTCTATCATTCTATTCAGAATAACTTAGTATTGTCAGCAAACTAAGATACCTCAAAAATTTCTCCTTCTCATTTCTAGACCATTTATTAATATTTGGAACATTGCAGTCCCCAAGACAAATCCCATGGATACTTCAGTGGTAACCTCCTTTCACTGTGAAAACTGACCATTTATTGCTGAATTCTGTCTTTTTCTTTTATCCTCTGACTTCTTAGATTCTTTAAATATAACCTAATGGGTTAAATCAACCATTATTTCTTTATCCACAAGCTTATTGATTTCTCTGAAAAATGCTACTACATTTGTGAAGCATGACCTACCCTTAAAAATCCTTTTTGACTCTCTGCCAACATACAATACTAATTCCTGTTCACTGGTTCTTCAAAACAGTTACTTACAGTAATCCAGCTTCCAAGCTTCTCTAGAACCCTTGGGTTAACATCATATATCTTGCTGCTCATTATTAAAAATTTCTTCTGTAAGCACTTCTGCAGAACTATGGAGTTTAATAACTTCTTGGAAACTGTGTGTGTTTGAGTTCCCCACTCCCCCACACAATCACAAGGTTATGATTATAGCCAGGTAACCAATAGCTAGAGTGAAACCTAACACAAATTAATGGCACGTGAAGAAATGGATATTCTTATCACTTGTGAACATAAAGAATCCAACAGGACCTTGATTTCTTCAAGACTTATTTTCTACACTCAAAACTTAATTTTAAATTAAAAATTAATTTTAACTTATCCTGAAAAGCAACTGTAGAACTAATCCCTGCAGGAATATCTAAACATGAAATATCAGCTATTGATATAATTTGTCATCCTAAACTTCCAGGTCAAACCTTTTTTACTTCCCAGATATGAGATAAACCCCAGCCTTAATCCTACTTATTAAATAGCCACGGAACTAGTTCTTGCAGCTAAAGTGCATTAAGGAGAGTAACTCCATAGTCACCAATAGTCTCTCCAAATATCCACCCTTCCCACTCAGGTGAACAAGTTATTCCACACAATATCAGATAACGGCATTTGCCCTTCCAGGTGTTAACCTGCTGTTGTGGTTTTATAGCAGTAACTAAAAAATTACTTATTTCTTGCTGTGAGATATGGATTAGAACAATTAGAACATTCCAGACCCAGTCACAAGCTGGGCTCAATGGCCAAGTTCTTCTTAAATCCTACTTTTAAGCAAAAAAAAATAAATAAATAAACTGAGTGAGCATTTCATTAAGAAAAATTGAGATTCATTAGAAAACAACATTGTTTTTAATTTTTGTTGATCCTAAATAATCCAACAGTGAGTTTGGTGGAAGATGATTCCCTCTTTTAGGTCATAATGCCACCCTAAACATAAGCCTAATTTTTTATTTTTTGTTTTATTTAAAGGGATCGCTTTGTATAGTAAATCCATTTATAAGGCATTTGTTCCCAATCATGCAAACTTTCATCCTATCTCTGCCAGTCTTGCAGAATACAAGAATAAAAAGGCTTTCTACCTTTTTTTCTGAAAACCTGATTCCAGTCCTAGCCCTAAAATTATCATGTACTGTAGAGAGAAGAAGAATCTGTACTGGAATACCTAATATGAAGCATATGCTCCTGCCTACGCCATAGTACTCTCTCTGACATGTTTTTTTCCAGTTCCCCAGCCTTATCCCAAGCCTTCCTTAAATGGAAGATGTGTCCAGGAATACTGAAAATAAAATATTTGCTTATGACTACACTAGCTTCCTTCTGAACTCTTATGAATTCAGAAAAAATCAGACTTGTTACAGCCTTCCTTTCTGATACCTTATCTTTCCCCAGTTTCAACCAAAAATTTGAAGATATTCACCCCCAGAGATATCAGCAGTCTTATTCCTGCCAGTCATGTGGATCTGATACAAAAACAGGTCTTCAAGTGTTTTCCCTTTTTTTCTTTTTTTTCCAAGTTTAACCTATAGGCTACCTATACACAGGAGCCTTCTGGAACTAATGAACATATACATTCCCTTTTGCATTCTTGATGGCCACACAAGTATCACATTATAAGATGACGTTTTGAAAACTTGTCTTAAATTTTAATCCATACCACTGTTAGAAAATTATTAAGCCAGAATAAAATTCAAGAATTGGTGAATTAAACCACACTGGTATTAAAAGGAATCCTTTAAGAAATAAAAAAAAAACCAGTTACACAACAATAATAAGGCACTGGGTCAGGTAAAATTCTTATTATATGTACATTGTTGGAAGTTTATAACTAACCTTAAAACAGTGAGTGCTTAGCACTGAAAAAGCAACAAATAAAGATAATGCTTACCCCATGAAACTCAGCATCTAAAAGAGAGCCTTGAAGAGGATAGGATGCTGTAGAAGGTTTAGAAGGGGACAGTAAGAATGTTATTTCATTGCAGATATGTCTGACCCACCTGATTAAATAAATGTTAAGAGTAAAGAGATTATTTAACTTACATTGCTAAGTATTAATATGTCTTTAAAAGTTACAGTTTAAATGCAATAGCAGCATCTGGTACATCAAATTCAGAGGTTAGTTTGCACTTGGAGCACTTGGTAGGCAATCCAAAGATGGGAATGAGAGATAGAGTGGGATGTGAGAACCCCTGTGTATCATCTGTGCTTTTGCTCATTAGATGGAAAAAAGGTACATTATATTCAGCAACATATTTGTGGTTCTGGCACACATTCAACCAGATTCAGCTGTTGCCACATCACTCTGCATTATACAACCCACAGGGATGACAGAAACCACTGACAAGGTGGCTGCAAAAGACTGGACAGTTTTTTACTTTGACGGGTTAATGCCAGCTAACTATCTCCAGTGCTAGCATCTGTCATTCCAGAAATATCTGTTTTTAAAGGGATCTAAAAGAGCATTAAAGACTGCACTACAAATTGTCTGCAGGCAAAACTGCAAGTGAAATTTTGGACATTTTATGTAAAAGCTATGACTACCAAGATGCCATTGCTCCAAGATAACCTAGGTGATAATTTAAAGTGTGGATAAATTACAGATAAATCCATCTACAACTATTATCTTTGACTCACCCTCTTTCTCTGTAGAATTAACATTTTTCTCAGGAGGTGCTCATGTTTTATTACACATAAAATAATTTATAATACTAGAAAGAAAGTAAAGCCAGATTCAACTGGAAAGACAAAAATCCATCCAAACCGCTTTCACTGAATTACGAAGCATTCCCTGCAAGAAAAGCTTCCATGGTCTTGTCAGGAGGGGAAGCAATTTATCACTGAATCCAGCCTTTAGGTATCTGCACAGAACTTCAGATTTCAGAAGTGGGCTCCATGACTTTCTTTTACAGGTTAAAAATACTTGTTAAAGTCGTCTAAACTGTTGCTAAGAGAAATGACACATTTGGCAAGGATATGTGAGTGATAGCTGGAGATTCTTGAAAATAAAGTAGATTTGGCTTACAGGTTGTTTTTTTAACTTACTTCAGAATCTTTAGTAATAGTTACCAATAAAATTCAAATCATTATATAACACAAATTCAGTATACATTCACCAAAGGACTTCTATGTCTTCCTCAGAATCTTCCTACGAAGCCACACCAGCTGAGACAAAAATACACAAAAAAATTTAGACATAAATTTTAAAACCTTTGTGGAGATGTAAAATAAACTTGTCCCATGTCGTACATGGATTTAAGAACATCTTTCCTCTTGCAACAGGGAACACTGAGCCAGACTCAGTTCTTCATAGCTCTCTACACTAGTTTACCTTGGGTGTTAGTCATTCAGATTGCTCTTAACATACACTGGAATAAGTGTGCTAAGTTGGTGTAAGAATGTGACTAGGAACCAACTTCACAGGTTATGCATTTCAATGAAATCCTTAAGGAAATGAGAAGTTTGATTTTTTTTCTGCACTGTTTGGAAAAGATTTGTGATGTTACTCTGTGTACTGCTAAATGATACTATAGAAATATGGAGGCAATAACTTAATAGAAATTAAATTATTACTTCAAAACTCTAAGCAGAGGAACAGTGAAGTTCTAAACCATTGACTAGAAACACATAACTCTTCCCACCAGCTCCCCCTGGACTTCCTCAATGGTTTATGAGCTCCCTGTTGGACTGTATGA